AAGGGAGGGGGGAGGGCATTGACATTTAAGAAATGGTTCAGCTTGCAATGGTAAACAAGAAAATTAAAAAGAAAATAACAATTTGAAAATAATATTATTGTTCTACACTGCCTATTTAGATATGATCTTACATAAGATAACAATGTTTTTGATGAAAGTATGTCTAAATAGAAGTATTTTCAAATATGTTCATTGTTCAAAAAAAAAATAATATTTAAGAATAATATATTTGGAAATTTTAAATTTGATTTTTGTCTTTAACTGATTTGTAATGGAATATTCTTATTCGTACATATATTTATTTTTATTTTGGATTTTATTTATTATTTATTTTACGAATATTTTCATTCTATTTATTTCATTATATAGAATTCTATCGATGATTTGATCAAGCAATACACTTTTCTAATCTATTTCATAATTAATATTCCTCATACATCTAAAAGACAATTATTTTGCTTTTTCCTTTTTTATTTCCGTTAAATATTCAAACCTATATTTTTTCTTTTCAATTTAAATTAAGAAAACGAGCAATTTCAGTATTGAAAAACGTTTCTTTCAAATTTTATTTTTACAATACGAGTTTTTTAATAGGAGAATGCGCATAAAAGAGTGTTATTAAAATAGGTTAATTGCCGAGTTTCTGAATTTAATTTCGCGCATTTTCTCCGAAACTACTTGTCTCAAATAGGTTGACAAGTACAATAGATGGCAACATAAAAATCGACCAACTGCGCACAACGTCATATGTGGCAAATGAAAGAAGAAAGACGACATGTCCTCTAATTAGTTGGTGGTATGATTTCAAAGATTCGGTGGAGATAAATGTCGTCTTTGTAGGAATACGTAAAAAATANTTTCCAGAGCACTTCTCCAAAGATATCATTAAACATTTCTGAAATATGTTTTAACGTTATACTTTCGAATTACAATGTTAAAGGGTTCCGTACAATATCAGTTTCAACCCTGTTATTTAGTCTATAGAACGTTAAATGAAAAAGTGTAAAAACAGAAATAAAGAACACATAAAATTGCACTAATTTCACTAAAAGATAAGCACTTTAGTCTAACAATATCACTTTTATTTATAGTTTTGTCAGACAGAAAATTCGTGTTGACACTTATGACGTTTAATCAGCTGTAATGAAAGTGTACGCATTCTGTGTTGCCATCTATTGTACTTGACAACCTATTTGACTTGTCTCATCATAAGATCTGTTCCTTATTTAGAAAACGAAAATAGTATGTGAAAATTCCTTGTAACGTATTCAAAAAGACGCTTAAGATATGGCTTTAGTTTTTTTAATGAGCATAAGCCAGAGCTCTTGAGAAATACTATTTTAAAACAACAACAAATATAATTAATATTATAGATCTTACAGTTTTCTGGTTAACATGCTCTGTATCAACCAAAATACACATTACACATATTGCATTTCAATACTATTTAACAATTAACAATTTATACATTCAGAGCTATAGATGAGGCGATGTTTAAATAATTTTTTTTTGCTTTTAAACGCTTAAATCATTTGAAAAGGTTTAAACATTTTTTAACATTATTCTCAAAAAGACCCAGAACTTCGGAGGTATCGAAAGGATTTATAAAATGTCGGCTTGACAATTGTTTAATGGGTGTTGTATAAGCATTAAAACTCAGTAATTTAAAAAAAAAATTGCCATAACATATGCAAGAACAGTTTTGAAGAGCTCCATATAATTATTAAATCGAAAAACTAAAAAAGTGCAGCATTCAAAATTCCGATATCAGTAGATTTAGAAAAAAAAAACATTTTATAAATTCTTTTGATGTCTCCGAAGTGTTGAGTTGAACTGTATGCTGATTATATAGCTTAGCCTAATATTGGCGATTTGCGAGATTTCCTGTGCTCGAGGTTGCGCGATTTTGTATTTCAATCTTTTATTTGAAAACGCTGGGCTGAGGGGCGTATACATGGGGGGCTATTTGTATATTAAACAAAACATTAGAATTTTTCGAACGAGTTTTGTATTTCATACACGTTAGAATTACATTTTTTAAAATCATTAAAAGTTTCTAATATTCAGTGCAAATTAATTTAAAATGTAAAAAAGTGACTTTTTAAAGTCTTTAAGTATTCCTTTTCACGCACTTCTTTTTTTAAAATCAGAATAAATATGTATTTATACCGATTTACTTCTTGTCATTATACAACTCTCGACAACAGAAAGCAGTGCCAGAATTTAATGAATTTGAGCCGTCGTGTCTTAAATCCACCTAAGACCGGTTTCAATTAAGCGCCGGCTTAAATCTTGAAACACAATTTTAAGTATGGAACAAACCATATGTAAGCCCCGGCTTAAATTCTTTAAATTCGGCCTCAGATTGAACATGTTTTGAAAGGAAATGTATTGTTACCTATTGCAAAGACGTCTTTAAAGTAGATTTACAAATTTTCTGTTTTTCATTAATACTACACACACTTTGAAATTATGCAATTTGTTTGCATTTTTGAATTCGATGGGTCCCTCTTTTCAAAAATTTATAATTTATGATTTTTTGGGATAACTAGATTTCGGAATAAATATTTGGAATCTTGGAATTTTTTTTTACAGATTATTAAGTTAGAGGCCAAGGGTTTTTCAAAAATATATGGAATGCTATGGGTTAGTATCACAATAAACGAAAATATTGTAGTTTGAAAAGAAATATGGTTTGTAGATTTCTATGCTCAAAAGATTTTATTAAATTTTAGGAAAGTTTGACCACAGTTCTTCAATATTTAGTTTATTTTCGATTCTAAATATTGTTGACGTATGCATTAACAAGATAAATTTTACAGATAGGTTTTTCATCTACATATCAACTATTGCTCATATTCTTAATTCTAAATTTCAAATACTATTCTTGATTTTGTTTCTTGTTTTCTTGGTTAAAGATTTAAGACCCTTGTACGCGTTGAATACTGGGAACACGCCTTCTCACATTCTTTCCGGGTTCGGAAACTGAAAAAAGCATGATAACAATGGTATCCAGAATACAGTGGTATCCAGAATACAGTAGTATCCAGAATACAGTGGTATTCCGAATACAGTGGTATCCCGAATACAGTGGTATCCAGAATACTGTGGTATCCCAAATACAGTGGTATCCCGAATACAGTGGTATCCAGAATACTGTGCATGTATCCAGAGTACAGTTGTATCCATAATACAGTGGTATCCAGAATACAGGAGTATTCAGAATACAGTGGTATCCAGAATATAGTGGTATCCAGAATACAGTGGTATCCAGAATACAGGAGTATCCACAATACAGTGGTATCCAGAATACAGGAGTATCCAGAATACAGTGGTATCCAGAATACAGTGGTATCCAGAATACAGGGGTATCCATAATACAGGAGTATCCAGAATACAGTGGTTTCCTGAATACAGAAGTATCCAGAATACAGTGGTATCCAGAATACAGTGGTATCAAGAGTACAGTGGTATCCATAATACACGAGTATCCAGAATACAGGAGTATACAGAATACAGTGGTATCCAGAATACAGAAGCATCCAGAAGACAGTGATAGCCAGAAAACTAGTATCCAGAATTAAGTGATATCCAGAATACAGAAGTATTCAGAATACAGTGGTTTCCAGATAACAATAGTATCCAGAAAACAGTGGTATCCGGAATACTGTGGAATCAAGAATAAAGTGGTATTCAAAATACAGTGGTATCCAGAATAGAGTGGTATCAATAATACAGTGGTTTCTAGAATACAGTGGTATCAATAATACAGTAGCATATATAATACAGTGGTATCCAGAATACAGTGGTATCCAGAATACAGTGGTATCCAGAATACAGTAGTATCTAGAATACAGTGGTATCTAGAATACAGCGGTATCCAGAATACAGTGGTGGCTTCCAGAATACAGTGGTATCCAGAATACAGTGGTATCTAGAACATAGTAGTTTCTAGAATACAGTGGTATCCAGAATACAGCGGTATCCAGAATACAGTTATATCCAGAATACAGTGGTGGTATCCGGAATACATTGGTATCCAGAATACAGCGGTATCCAGAATACAAGGGTATCCAGAATACAGTGGTATCCAGAATACAGTGGTGGTATCCAGAATACAGTGGTATCCAGAATACAGTGGTATCTAGAAAAAAGTGGTGGCATCCAGAATACAGTGGTATCCATAATACAGTGGTGGCATCCAGAATACAGTGGTAGCCAGAAAACAGTAAAACGATTGTCGTCTTCTTGATTTGTTTGAATTAAAATTTTGATAAAAGTATATAATTTGTAACTGGTTCCTTTCGAGAAATACGATGTAAGCATTTTCAGAAAGTTACAAGACTGAATGATTACAAGATTAACTTACTGAAAGGGGAACTTTATGCGTAATTTCAAGTGACCCTCCATGCAAAGATGAAAATTCCCGATTAATAACGGTGAAGCTTTATCTGATCAAGTATTTATTAGCTTTTAATGTTATTGTTTCTTTGAACTGTTTATTTTTATTTGCAGGTGACTTGATCATTTCTTGTTTTTATGAAGCAATGTATAAACTCACAAATCGAGGTATCTTCCACAATATTGATCAGATAAAAGTTTCAAGAGTACAGCTGTAAACATTTCAATCTTTGCATAGAGGGTTACATGGAATTCCGCTTACAGTCCCTTTAAAAGACAATCATGCCACAATTCTCTACTCATGCTTCATTTCTCTACTCAAGCCACATTTCTCTACTCATGCACATTTCTTTAATCATGCCACATTTCTCTACTCATGCACATTTCTCTACTCATATCACATTTCTCTACTCATGCACATTTCTCTACTCATGCCACATTTCTCTACTCATGCCATATTTCTCTACTCATGGCACATTTCTCTACTCATGCCATATTTTTCTACTCATGCTTCATTTCTCTACTCATGCTTCATTTCTCTACTCATGCCACATTTCTCTACTCATGCCACATTCCTCTACTCATGCCACATTTCTCTTCTCATGCCACATTTCTCTATTCACGCACATTTCTCTACTCATGCCACATTTTTCTACTCATGCTTCATTTCTCTTCTCATGCCACATTCCTCTTCTCATGCCACATTTCTCTACTCAAACCACATTCCTCTACTCATGCCACATTTCTCTACTCATGCCACATTCCTCTACTCATGCATATTTCTCTACTCATGCCACAATTCTCTACTCATGCCACATTCCTCTACTCATGCCACATTTCTCTACTCATGCCACATTTCTCTACTCATGCCACATTCCTCTACTCATGCCACATTTCTCTACTCATGCCACATTCCTCTACTCATGCCACATTTCTCTACTCATGCCACATTTCTCTACTCATGTCACATTTCTCTACACATTTAATGTACTATTGTCTAAACAATTATAATTTTCATTAATCCTCGATTAGATAAATGCATAACGTGTAACATTGTGACTTGAAAGTGCCACTATTTACTTTAAGGTCACGTAAAATTGTGTCTTTCTAATTTCTTTAACCTATGATAAATTGAAAAGTATAGAAAAATTAGACCTGTTCAATCCTTGTTTACATCCTGAGTAAAGATACGGCTGGCAAAGTCCACTTTCAAGTATAAAAGTCCATCTAAACAAAACACAGATTTTTGAGGATTAATGAGAATATACGTTTAATTTGAGGATTAATGGGAATATACGTTTAATTTGAGGATTAATGGGAATATACGTTTAATTTGAGGATTAATGGGAATATACGTTTAATTTCAAGGGATCGTCCATGGAAAGCTGTAAAGTTCATTGTGAATATTCTTTCCCAAAGGGATTAAAGATATATCTATTAATGTACAGTTAAACCCTAAATAAGTCATATATTGAAAGAATTTATCAAGTGTCGACTTGACAATTTTTCAATGGGTTTTATACTATTTTACAAAAATCTCAGTATTTGCGAAAATAAATAAATAGCCATGAATATGCGGTGAACAGTTTTAAACAGCTCCATATTCATTCAATTAAAAAATTAAATGCCTGCAACATTCCATCAGAAAGTGAAAAATACGACATTTGATGAATTCTTTCGATATATGGCTTATTTAGGGTTTAACTGTATTTTGACCTCAACAAGATCCAGATAATTATAAAATTTCCATCAGTTTTTAAGACTAGGTCAACTTTAAAGTGTCGCAACTGCGCTTATGCCATTTATTTTACAACACTATCTCAGTTTTACTTATTGTAGTCCTATAGATATGAATATTTTACAACACTATCTCAGTTTTACTTATTGTAGTCCTATAGATATGTATATTTTACAACACTATCTCAGTTTTACTTATTGTAGTCCTATAGATATGTATATTTTACAACACTATCTCAGTTTTACTTATTGTAGTCCTATAGATATGTATATTTTACAACACTATCTCAGTTTTACTTATTGTAGTCCTATAGATATGTATATTTTACAACACTATCTCAGTTTTACTTATTGTAGTCCTATAGATATGTATATTTTACAACACTATCTCAGTTTTACTTATTGTAGTCCTATAGATATGTATATTTTACAACACTATCTCAGTTTTACTTATTGTAGTCCTATAGATATGTATATTTTACAACACTATCTCAGTTTTACTTATTGTAGTCCTATAGATATGTATATTTTACAACACTATCTCAGTTTTACTTATTGTAGTCCTATAGATATGTATATTTTACAACACTATCTCAGTTTTACTTATTGTAGTCCTATAGATATGTATATTTTACAACACTATCTCAGTTTTACTTATTGTAGTCCTATAGATATGTATATTTTACAACACTATCTCAGTTTTACTTATTGTAGTCCTATAGATATGTATATTTTACAACACTATCTCAGTTTTACTTATTGTAGTCCTATAGATATGTATATTTTACAACACTATCTCAGTTTTACTTATTGTAGTCCTATAGATATGTATATTTTACAACACTATCTCAGTTTTACTTATTGTAGTCCTATAGATATGTATATTTTACATTTTAACAGCACTTGTGTCAAGCTTTAGTCTTTTGTAAAGTAATTGGGATCGGGGTTTGAATGAGAGCTTTTTAATCTCTGGATCCCAGTGGCCTACCTGTGCGGGGATTGAAAGTATGATCCCGTATCTACTGGTGGATCCCAGTGACCTACCTGTGAAGGGATTGAAAGCATGATCCCGGATCTGCTGGAGGATCCCAGTGGCCTACCTGTGAAGGGATTGAAAGCATGATCCCGGATCTGCTGGAGGATCCCAGTGGCCTACCTGAAGGGATTGAAAGCATGATCCCGTATCTACTGGTGGATCCCAGTGCCCTACCTGTGAGGGATTGAAAGCACGATCCCGGATCTACTGGTGGATCCCAGTGACCTACCTGTGCAGGGATAGAAAGCATGATCCCGTATCTACTGGTGGATCCCAGTGACCTACCTGTGCAGGGATTGAAAGTATGATCCCGGATCTGCTGGAGGATCCCAGTGACCTACCTTTGAAGGGATTGAAAGCATGATCCCGGATCTGCTGGAGGATCCCAGTGACCTACCTGTGCAGGGATAGAAAGCATGATCCCGTATCTACTGGTGGATCCCAGTGACCTACCTGTGCAGGGATTGAAAGCATGATCCCGGATCTCCTGGTGGATCCCAGTGACTTACTTTTGGGGGATTGAAAGTATTATCCCGTCTCTGCCTGAGGATCCCAGTGACCTACCTCTGAAGGGATTGAAAGCATGATTCCGGATCTGCTGGAGGATCAAAACAAATCCCTCGGTTGACGGGTAATCCCACTTCTACAGGAATACGAGCATCTTTCTAAACATAATTCTCTCATCTAAAGGGCGTCCCACGAAACATGACATTTGGGGAATAATTAAAAATGTCTTCTTCCATAATTAATTAAGTTGTTTAATACCAACCAGAATTATAAGAATATTTAATGGTAGTCATACAATAGTAAAATTGATTTCAAAGAGAAATATATTTTAGTAAAAGATTTTATTAAACGAATAAAATTCAAAAAAATCTTTAATATCTATTACAGATATAGGGAAGAAGACCTTCCAAATAATTTACCAACTGTTATGTTTCGTGGGACACCCTGTATCTAAAAAATTTCAAACTAACTTAGAGTCGTCATCGTAGTGTACACTGGAATTTGACACACATAAACATCACAACATAGATAAGCGAAACATAAATTTTAGCATATCTTTGTTTCCATGTTAATATATTGGTTCCATATATATTATATATATACTATTAATATATAAATAAATAAATAAATTTAAAAAGCATAACTTTTATACTGTGGTAGAGGATTATATCAATATAATGAAGACGACTTTCGATTTATATCAAGCTTTTGAACAGCATATATACACAAAAACATAGAAGTCAGGAGAAGCTGTCAATTTGAAAAGCGTCTTTTAATTACTTGTAAACTTATAATTTGAAAAAAGCTTGTTAACAATTAAAACTTAAATTAAAAAGGTCGTCTTCATTATATTGATATAATTTCCTACCATCGTAGGAAAGCTGCTTTCATTGTATTGTTACAAACGCTGACCACTGAATAAATTGTAAATCAATATATACCCAGGGTGCCTCAATCAACATTGAGAATTAGGATAATGGATGAATTTAAGTATTTAAAAGATTATATGTCTTTTGAGACCGTATTGTGGTCTAACGTGATTGTATCTTTAAGATTGCGCGGATAAATATTATATTAAATTTTTTTCTTCAGTTTTGTAAGGAAGATTATCTGACTTTCCAACTGGGAGTAAGGAATAGAAGGGAGATAAAACTGACGCGGCCCGCCCTGCTATTTGATAATACATGCTTTGCAGACGGTACTCCATTTGTATAAGAAATATTCAGAATAGGTTATTGTATACTCGATAATTGTACATCAGACAAATATTTCTTATTCAGAATTCAAATGAAGTACCGTCTGCAAAGCATGTATATAATCTGCATATGGTAGGGAGGGCCGTGTCAGTTATATCTCCCTTCTATTCCTATACTCCCTGCTTTCCAATGATAACTAAGAAATTAGACATTAAAAAATCCTCATAATAACAAATAAAAAATATACTAATTGGCTGGAAATGTATAATTTTACCTCCCTGCACGCCTTATTACAATCTTGGTAAGTTCTTTAATTGTTTCCATTTCCCTCACAACCGCCGTAGATAAACAACCTGGAAAACATGATTTCAAATGTCGTCTTTGAATTTCCCCAGAATCATACTTACATACTGAGATCTTATTTAACTATCTAGGTAGGGAACTCTATTGTTGACAATATGTTTTAGTGACTCTCTCCATTTATAGTCTGGCATGTCCGATTCACAACGGTACCCTTTAAACCCATATCTGAACAACAATTGTGGAATTCTTTTAACATTTTTTTTATTTTACGCAATGTCACTTTTAAAGAAAAAACGATGTATCTTGTATTCTTGATCAAGCAAAGGTTTAAAGAGTGCCGTTGTGAATCGGAAAAGCTACACATTAAAGGGAGAGTAACTTGGAATTACTTCTACAGTCTCTTTAACAATTCCTGGATGCCTTCCACCAAGCATCTGTCCATCACCTGCAAGCTCCTTCACTAAAAGTCCATCGTTGAAGTAATGAATTACATGGTCCATGTTCAGAAGGAGGATCTGTACTGCAGCTCAAAACTGTACCTGTACATGTTGTGCAATATAAACTAAAATATTTAATTATTCATAATTCAACGTATGAATTTTCTTTGAAAAACTGAAGCTTGATCAATCGCCAAACTCATTGAACAGTTAAACTGTTCAAAGACACAAGATAAAATTAAACCCTACAGGATAAACAGAATTAAACCCTACATTATAAACAGAATTAAACCCTACAGTATAAACAGAATTAAACTCTACAGTATAAACAGAATTAAACCCTACAGTATAAACAGAATTAAACCCTACAGTAAAACAGAATTAAACCCTACAGGATAAACAGAATTAAACCCTTCAGTATAAACAGAATTAAACCCTACAGTAAAAACAGAATTAAACCCTACAGTATAAACAGAATTAAACCCTACAATATAAATAAAATTAAACACTACAGTATAAAAAGAATTAAACCCTACAGTATAAACAGAATTAAACCCTACTTTATAAACAGAATTAAACACTACAGTTCAAANTATAAACAGAATTAATCCCTACAGTATAAACAGAATTAAACCCTACAGTATAGACAGAATTAAACCCAACCCTATAGTAAACACACAATTAACCCTATAGTACTCACAGAATTTAATTCTGCAGTACACCCAGAATAAAACCCTGCAGTACACACAGAATTAAACCCTACAGTAAACACAGAATAAAACCTTACAGTGCACACAGAACTAAACCTGCAGTACACCCAAAATAAAATCCTACAGTACACACAAAATAAAACCCAAAAGTACGCACAGAATTAGACCCTGCAGTACATACAGAATTAAACCCTACAGTAAACACACAATTAACCCTTAGTACTCACAGAATTTAATTCTGCACTACACCCAGAATAAAACCCTGCAACCCTACAGTACACACAGAATAAAGCCTTACAGTAAAGACAGAATTAAACCTGCAGTAAACCCAGCATATAACCCTACAGTACACACAGAATAAAACCCTGCAGTACACACAGAATTAAACCTTACAGTACATACACAATTATACCTTACGGTACACACAGAATTAAATTCTCCAGTATTTATCAAAAACATAAAAAAAAACAAGTAAGTAAAATGAAGCTATCCTCATATAGAAAGTATCAGTTAGAAGCCAGAGGACGACATTTGATAAATTCTTCAAAAATTTACGGGTGTATTTGTTAAAGGCAAAGACTTTGCTAATTATAAAGACGAGGCGTTGGAAATTTATCCGACTATTGTGTACGCCAGTACAGCTGTATTTTGACGTCATTGGTTATTTTGGTTGTTTGAGAGTCTAGCGATCGACATTAAAACCTTAGTTATTTAACTCAATTGTGAATGTTTTGTGCTAAAAAATAGCTAAAATTAACGATATTTATTTGTATTTTAAAATTTATTTAATCATTTGTTGGATATACGGATCGTCTGGTGAATTATAGCTGAATTTGTGATAAAGTTACGCATCTCTTTTGTATTAAAAATAGCCAATAATTGTTAGTGAAAATTTTCAGATATCGTCAAATATTGTTCCTGAGGTTCTATGGAATAGAATTTTAGGCGATGAAGAAGAGAGGGGACCAGAAATTTCAAATATTATAAACGGTAAATAATTTTTTTTTGTAAATGTCGTCTTCTGTTTAATCTTAGGCAAAGAAATGATATCGCATAAATTAATGTATTAATCTTACTCTTCAATTGATTTATGGGGATTTTGTTTCAGAAATATCAACCATTAAAGAAAAAATATTACAGAAAATTTCGTTAAAAATACGAATTAATGGACGACCTTTTACTTAGCAGTCTTTTAAAGTTGATTACAACAGTTTTGAGGCATGAATTATTGGAGGATTTTAAAAAGGTGGATTAAAGAAATACATTGGTGAAAATAAAACTGGGAAATATAAAGACGACTTTTGGACTCAATTTTTGATTAAATAGTTCAATGAACATAAAATACTGCAATTGAGCAGTGAACATGGAGATTGTCTAAATTTCGTCTTCAAAATTTGGAGTATTATGTATACAAGTTCAATGAACAATTCTGATAAATTCAGGTTCGTTGGTGCCACTGCCAAGCAAAGTATTTATGATATACAACTGCCAAACCAACCAAGAATAGGAGAGTCTGCGTTTACAATGCCAGCCGATCCAAAAAGAAAAAAGTTTGGAGAAAGTATCATAGGAATTCCTGACAGAGAAATATCCCGATTTTGTAAAAACTATTACATTGTTAAATAAATATTATGAAGTTATCTTTTTCAATAATTCATTTAAATCAGGTAGAGAGAGAATTCAATCTTGAATGAAAAAGTAATGAAATAATTGATTACTGTTGAAAAGTACAAGGTTACATGCATACAAGATACGTGACATTAATTTTCTTATAAACACTTAATATACTTCAAACCAAAAGTAAATGTTCTATAGGACTGGTTGATTTAATTTCATGTTACCAACCCATTACAGGTCCTATCAACAACGGTACCATTTAAACATTTATCTGGGTAACAATGAGGAAGATATCGTCGTTATTTCAACTTAAAAAGTGATGAATTCTACAAGTTGTCTAGATATTGCGGTGACGTACGACATAAATTTATTCTTTAAAATTCACTAATCTGTAAATGTCAAGATGTTATAAAATAATTCAATAAAGTTCATTGTCATTTCTTTATATGATGTAATAAAGAACTCCAATAAAATTCACTATTCTGTGAATGTCATGATTAAATTGAATAACTCACTAATCCTTCAATGGCACAATTCTTGAAAAATTATTCAATGAAAGTTTACTGTTGTATAATTCAGTCATGATATAATATAAAACTAAAATATTGGATCAGAATAGCAGGAAGCGGTTTAGTGTTTAAATGGCATAAAAATTAATCTGCGTAAAATGATTTGAAGTTTTTAGTTAAAAGAGACCTATACCATACTCTGTAGAAAGATAACGGGAAAATATTATAATATCTTAAATGTTCATACGTGAGGAATGTGGATACTTTTAGATATTGAGTTAAAGGGGCTGTAAAGCAAGGTTAAAATGCAAGTTGCGTATACTCTGCGTACATATTGAAAACAGTTTTCTCTGGGCGGAATTTGTAAACAGCAATAAATGCATCAGTGTTCGATTAGTATCCGAGGAGGTTTAAAGTATTAAATTTTGATAATTTTGATAATTCACATAATATTTTCCTTTGACCAAAATATTTCATTAGTTTTAAATGTGAAAGATGGATCCCATGTCTTACTTCGCCATCCGTCTTGTGTTTACATTACCGCCCAGAGACAACGTACATTGCAGTAGAAAAGACGCGTAAACCTCTGAAATAACTTTCCTTGCATTATAACTCTGCTGTAAAGGAAAAATGAAAGGGGTTATATGCTGAAATCTAAGCATTTTAGGAGTTGTTCCTCTCTCTGGAGAAATTGATATAAAACTGTGTCAAACTTATACGAAAATATATATATAATATGTTTTATAAAAATAGGAGGTTTAGACAGTTTATTTTCTGCAAATAAGCAACAAATCTGAAAACGACGATATCTCAAGGGAGCCTTAATTACTTAGGTTTGCTCCTTTTATTATTTGAATTTAATAAGGCTCAACATTGAGCCTTATTCTCTACTGAAACCAAGCAAGGTCGGTCGGATAAAGTAAGTACGGTTTATGTATTTGATATATTTTTTAATTATTAATGTAGCAACCGTTGTTAAACCTAACAGCTACAGGGTTACCCATAAAGAAGGAGACTTCTAAGACGACTGTACGGAATCTAACTGTCTGCATTTCCTCATGTTCTCCCGATTCTCTGCAACTGTCAACTTGTTTGTATCTTTGCCAAATCTTTAAATAAAACATCAAAAGACAATATTCAAGCAGGAGAGTTAATTTAACCATGGGATTGTCCTATACTATTAGTTTCAGGTCGTCTTTACAGTTTCATCCTTTGAAGGTATCCCTGTAGATGTATTATACAGTTTCTAAAGGCTTAAACCAAGAAAAATATACCAGGAACACACAAAGCTTTGTATATATAAAAAGTGTACTGCAGTTCCTCTAGTCAGAATGTAAACAAAGTTTGTGCTTTTCAGGCCGAAATTTGTTTTCTTTTTCTTCCAGAATCTGCAGTACACTTTCTTTGTAAGCGAACATATGGGGTTTCCTACCATAGAGAATAGAATATATAGATAGGAATTAACTAGAAAAAAGTGTAAAACGGCCATTTTGTTGTACTGTTTCCATACTGCAGGTGTACTTCACAAAATCATGCTATATGACCTGTTGGGCCCTGGAATATCATTTTACAGAAAATCTAAAATTATTGTTAAAAGAAAACCAAATTATGAAATAGGCTGGTTTCATAATTGACCAATGATCATTTCACATAGGCTCTATGCCTTCCACTTTACAAACGATGATTTTCCGTTATAACTATAAATCATATGATGTTTTTTATTCACCTAATTCATTATAAAGTTTATTTAACAGTTTAAAAAATTCTAAATTGAAATGAATAGTCTAGGGAACATGCTGTATTAATGTACTCTACTGCATATAATTTGTGAACATTTACATGATTTGTACACTTTGAACTCCCTTTCAGGCTGAAAGGGACTGAAAAAATTCATACCGAGAGATTCTTTTAATTCCTCTCTATATATTCTATTCTCTATGTTTCCTACAGTGATATCAGAAAACTCTGAAATAGGAAGCCGACCCTATATAGTCCAACGGCACCAGATATTGTGCAGTGGAAATAAACCCATTTCACGTAATAAATGCTTTGTAACAACATCAAATGCACTTTAGTATTGCTTTAATGTCGTCCTTCTATTCTACAGTTTTCTGGTTATTACTGTATAGTCTGTTTTTTACGATTAATTTATTTTTAACTATTAATTTATTATTACTGAATCCTGTTTTTCATGAAAGAAGAACGGTTCTGTAATTTTTGTTAAGAATAAAAGGATCTAAATATTCGGGGGAATTCTTTGATTTTTCAATCACTATATCTTCGAAACCCGATTGCATAAAATTTAATTTCTCAGACTTTTTGATCTGAAAGATTGCATAGTTTGAAATATGAAAGTTTTACGAAATATAAGGCTACAAAGATATGAGTATTAAAAATTAGTACCTTTGACCAAACCTACCTAAAAATTGTAAGATTAAGAAAAAGAACATATTTATGTGTGTTCACTGAAACCCAGCTAAACTAGTACTAAACATCTATTAAAATAGTTCTGAATATTACATTTACATCACACTACTGAATAACTCAGTTTAACCCTTGATATGCGAACCTCTTTGATGAGTGTAAAACCCTGTAAAACCCTGTAAAAAGTAGGAACTATAAGGGGGGTCATGAAGAAAGATTTCAAGCGAACCTCAATTTAAAATGTGCTATGCCCGATTCACAACGGTACACGGGCAGCCAGAGTACATTTTGATTTCCGAGCCGGGTCAAGCTTTCCGGTCCCAGTTTGTGCTGTACCGCACGGACATTGGGGTTAATAAAGCAGACAACCAACAGGACTAGCCGGTGCAACAAGGTTGACGCGGTCAGACTTTATGCTTCATATATGTTGAATTTACTTTTACGAAAGGGGCAGAGGTGCGTCTCTTCCCCTTCATCGTTTAAAATATTGGTAAGATAACGTAGTTTATTGTTGCATATAAATCCAACATTAATATAGAGAGAACTTCAATTAAATAAAATGAATTTTTGATATGAAAAAATAGGGATACTTTCGTCATTTTGACCAGACCAAGATATAAAGGCTACAAATCCACCGACACTCTTTAGATGTAAACATTGAGGGGGGGGGGTGTTGGATGCTTGTATAGGGTTAAGCAACTATTTAAGCGGTTTATTACATACTGTGGTTTAGTTTAATTACAACTCTATATTTGGACAAACCATAATAAAATCAAATAAAAGGAATGCATATTATATAAAAGAGGCTTGTGGGGGGGATAATAGAACAGGTAGGTGGGGGTATATTTCACATGTTTTGAAGCTATTATTTATTCCTTTTATGAGGAATGTAATTTCAAGTGATACTTGCTTGCAAACATAATGTTTAACAATTACAAGGCCGGGATTCAGTTAATTAATCAGAATAGGTTCGGCAATTAGTTTTAAGGGTAATGTTGTGAAAGGACACGCAACTCTAAAAATGAGGATCTCTTGACATTACGTTTGCAGTCCCTTCAAAGTGGGTTTCGGACATCATAATTCGTGCCAGGGGTTTCTCTTCTTGCTGCATACCAGCTGTTAATGCATTGAGAAGATTTATATTTTTCCTATATTATACATTTCAAAGAAAAATCGTTTCACATAAAGTTTACATTTAATGTTATTACAAATGCCCCCCCCCCCTTTTTAACCCTCAGAAGGGGCTAGGCGGGATAAAGGGGGATGCTATGGGAGTTATTATACTTCTTTAAAGCCTCCATCCCCCGCTACACAAATTCCTGTATACGCCTAGCCAGAGAGTATAGTGTTAGTTAGTGTTTTAGGGGGTGTGGGTACAATTTGTGCATCTTGCCACATCTCTAGTGCACATGCCAAGAAAATGTCCTCCTAGTGTCCACCTTTCTATTTATGTTTAGCATTTAAATATTTAGTTCCGAAGCGACGGACCGATTTATAATTCCGTGGACATTTAAACGTTTAGATCTTATCGGAGCATAGTTGCGAGGTATTCGGCTTGTTTTGGACATATACCCAGGCCTAGGCCTGAACCTGGTTATCTGATCAGGTCGGACAGCACTTTCTCCAGGGGGGTCAAACAGATACAGGGTATAATAGGCATATATCTCTTTCAGTTAACTCAGCCATATCCTACATATCTGTACACGGTGATCCAAAAGTTGCAATACAATGCAAAAAATAATAAGAATTTTGCCAATTGCTTCCTTCAAACTTAAGGTAAAAAGAAAAATTCTAAAATGTACATGATTTGACGAGGGGTATAAACAGTTTAGGTGAAATCATAGACCCAAGTCTCTAAAGTTGATGCAATTTTGCAAAGGAGTCTGGATCTGTGTGTGTATTATGAATCTCTTGTACTAATAGAATTTTTCAAATTTCTCTCCAGACCTTTTAATTCTCCTGAAGTATTCTTTGATAAGTATAAATGTTTCACCAGAAGGATGAGACTTCAGAGATGACTAATTACCATATCAGCATCAGACCACATATTCGAGTCTTTTCAAAGAATATTTAGGTTTTAAACCCCTAAACTGTTTTTATTTTGTTTTGAATAACGTTTATAAGAATAATTGCATTACCTTCCAGGACCAAAAATAATAAAATACAGTTTATATTTTGCTCTAAACTAAACATTTGAAAAAGAAACGTAGTTTAACGCCAGAAAAAGTAGTGACAAAAATAACTTTTAAAGTTGTTTTGAACAAACTTTTATAAAAAATTCACCAGCAGAAGGCCTGGTTACCCTGTGCTGGCACAATGCATGCCATTTTTAATTTGAAAAAAATAAGTAAATCCTAAATATCAAAATTCTGCTTTCCAGAAAACGTCAAACAATTTTTTTTTGCCACATGTACGTTGATAAAAACTAAAAACAAAATTCACGACCAATGCCAAGATGATATTTCCCGCATTTTCACCCCGTCTTCTGTTAAAAATTAAAGCAGCGTGGTATATCCTGTCTGGTATATAGAATAGTTCTACATGATTACTCTATAACTGTACTCGAATAGGCTGGGAAACTTGCAACTAAATTTCACAGCGTACTTTACAAGTTATACGTAGTCTACACCATGCTTCATAAAATACAGGGTGTCTAATGATTGATAAGACGTAGTATTCACTACCTTCAAAAATACTGGGTGCCTTATTATGCACTATAACCTTAGTAAAATACAGGGTGTTTCATGATAAATAAGCGTTATCTCATTTGGGTGTATCATAAAAAAAATCAAAAGTTGGCCTTATCATGCATGGTATTTTACGATATATGAAATCTATTGAAAACCTATAATCTGTATATATACTTTACTTGCCTGTCTGTTTTTATCCAACAAACGTCAAAACGACTGAACCAATCAGTCCCAAATTTTGTGTGTGACCACACGTACATAACTCCAGGGAAGATTTATGAATGATCAAAATCTCAAAACTTTGTTTTTAAAAGTTTTAAAAAAATATTTTCAATTCCGCAAACTGTACAAAGAGAAGATGATCACAGATAAAGCCACAATTAAAATTGAAATAGAAAATTGGCGCGAAGCGTTCTAAAAGCCTAGTTTAACCAAAAAGGTTATTCTTTTTTTAGTTCAGAGAGCATCGAGATATATAGGATAAAGGTAAAAAATATACTGATTACTCTACAGTCTTATCTTTGCCATTTAAAACTATGAATTATGCAAATGTTTGAAATATCTAAGAAAACTTATGTAGATTAGAGTTTATGGAGAATGTTATAGTTTTGATAAATTCAAATCATAAAAATAAAAAAAGAACATATCGATCATAGCCCCATAAAAATGAAAAATGATTCTACATAATGCAGATTTAAGATTAGATATACAGGGTTAGATATACAGGATGAGATTTTAATGACGAGCTGAAATTCTCGTATTTTGACGTTATGAAGGTTAAACTTGGTCTTGGTCTCAACTACTTTATATATGAACTAGATTATTTTGGAAAGAAACCTACAGCAACAAGCAGCTAGCAACCAATGTAACAAACACTGAATATAAATCTCTTAAAAGGCGCTTGCAGAATGACTAAAATGTACACGATTTTGATCAAATGCACAATTTTAGACCATTTGAGAATTGTTTTATATTTTTTAATAAGAACTAAATTTCACATAATATGTGTGAATTTAAAGTTAATTGAAAACTTAAATGCTTTTAATTCAAATTTACCATGACCGTGAACCATTCTTAGTCCAACCTTCATATTTGATTTCCATAATTCCAGATAAAACTGTATTATTATATTTCTGCAATTTACAAATGAAATTAGAAATATCCATTGTTCAGAAAACGTTCTTTCATATCGTATTAAAGTTTCAAGGATTATTGCTGCATTATGGTTCAATACTATATTATATTAAAAATCAACATAAAGTGTCAATTTAAAAAAATGTTTTATTTTTAAACAAAATTTATTTATCATTACTTTTTACATTTTATACACATTTACATTATGTCTTTAAACAAAACATGTAAAAAAATGCTTTAAAAAAGAAAAGGAACATTTTTTAGAATAATATTACAGATATAAAACATTGCTTAAAACAAATTCGCTTAGTTTTGGACAATAATTTGAAAATGCCCGCATAGTCTTATATTTGTTTGTTTAAATTAGAAAATTGTGTGTGATTTATTTTTTTAAAATATTGAGTTTAAAACAAGATAAGATAATATTTCGGATTGAATGGGTGTGTATCAAAAATATGCAGTCCAAACAGAACATAAACAGAAAAATTAATGAAAATAACGTAAGAATAAAAAATTAACAGGACCCAATAAAAAAAATGGCCGTAGAGAATTTAAAAATTTAAAAAACAACTAAATAAGGTGTGAAATGAGTTAGCAACGACAGTGTACGATTTAGGTTTTGGATGATTTAGATTATTCAAAATTATAATAATTGAAACTAGGTTTAAATGGTACAAGAAACAAAACATAAGCAACAACAATTATATAATAAGTACGATGATAATAACAATGACTGCTAAACTGTAAAAAGTTACAATTCTGTTAGATTTATTAGCACATAAATCATTTTATATTTCAAGTAGTATTAAATTTTTAATCTTAATTTAATATTTCTAGATTTTTTGATGTGTTTTACTATTCCATAAAGACAAAACTTTTAACAGTATACTTTTACAGAAAAGAACGAGTCAAAACAGGTTTAGACTGGTCAATGCCAGTCAACACTGGACAATACCGGTCAATACCGAGCTAAAATTGTTATATTTACTTCCCTACATTGTTTTTTTGATGTTCTAGCTAACAGTGTCGTCTAAAACGTCAGGTTCCAGAGAATTGTCTTTGAATGTACATGCAACACTGTACACTAACGAACAACTGGTCTATATGTGTTTAATTTGATCTAAATCACTGAGAAGAGTACATATATGAGCATATACAGGTACTGTAGAGTTCATGAGTATGACTCAGAGTATGGTTAAAGGTATTTATCAGAATGAATATGCGAGGAATTTATGTTGACCGAAATATCAGATCATCTGTGACTCCGTCTGTCCTGTTCTGTGTCTGAATCCGCCGGGAATGTTACATAATATGGAGTAGCAGGGTAGGGTGCGCCGGGGTACACTGACCCAGGGCGTGACACGGCGGAACGTTGACCTGCGGAAAGGTAGCTGTTAGCACCGACTGTGCCGAAGTGTGATCCATGGTGGGAGGCGGGGCCGGATAACATTTTCTGTGAGGTCACTGTTCCATTCCAGGTTAGAGCAAGGGGCGGGCCCTGAGGTGGGACCGGGGTAGAAGGGTAGGAGATAAAACCATGATTTCCATACATCTGAGGTGTCATAGGCGCATGATGCATTGGTTTAAGACAAGTACATTTTCCTTGAGCTCTCATAGCCAGGGGACCTGCTAATGGTCCTCCTCTATACTGGTTGTCTGCCAGTCGTAACCTGATGATGCAAATAACAATGATGATTATAGTAATGAAAGCAACAACTCCACCAACTATACCGATGATTAGTGAGTCCATGTTAGCTGGTTGGTTGGATTTGTTGAGGCTAGCCTGGGCATCTGTTGAGGTTGGTTGAGGTTTAGGTGTTGTTGTCTCCGGTCTCCAGATAATATCTAGTTCAGTTGTTGATGTTGTGCTGATGGTCGAGTAGAAAACCTCTGTTGTTGTTGTTGTTGGACGTCCTTCACATGTCAGCTCTGACTCTGGGATGCTGGCCAGTAGTTTACCCTGTAGGTAGTCAGGAGCAGCACATCTTATCACCTTTAGATCGGAGTAAAGTGTCTTCTCCAGAGATTTAGACTCTAACCATCGTTGTAGAGGTCGGGCGTTGCAATCACAATACACTGGATTGGTGGATAATCCTTCCAGACGAATATGACGTTGATGGCTGTCCAGAGTATTGAGTAGCTGAGGTCCTATGCTGGTCAGCTTGCTGCCCTTCACATTTAGTTTAATCTTGCTGGACATAGGAACTGGGAAGAATATTGCTGTGGGCAGGTTCTTGATGTTAGTGTCAGAAACTTCAATATTGATAACCTTACTTGAGATTCCATGGAGTGCAGAGATAGCAATATTTTCTATTCTATCTCCCATGACTCCAACACTTCTGAGCCGAGGTGAGAAGGCGGGGGTAAGATGATCTCCTACGATAGGATCTTTAACTTCTACATAAGCATGCTCAAGAGTGTTAAAACTTTCAAGGATTCCTTTCACATCGATGTATGAGACCTTAGGGTATCCGTACATTTCTAAACTTTTTAGAGCAATCAAGTTTGTGAAGGCAGATCTGTCGATCTTGGAACATTTATCAAGATGTGTCATAGACAATGTCTGAAGGTTGTTTAGGTACTTAAAATCTCCTTTTATGATGTAAGCGATAGGATTGCTGGATATGTTGAGATGCTTCATATGAGTAAGAACTAGCCAGGCTGAGGCTAAGCCAGAGCTAAGGTTTGGAATTTTGTTATGTGACACATCAAGATTCTCAACCAGCTTAGACTTGGATAGAATATCATCACTGAGGGTTTTTATACTATTGTGAGAAAGGTTTAGATTGATTAGGAAGGGAGTTTCAAGAACCGGAACCTTTTCGATCCCTGTTCCAGCCATATTTAGGGATCTCACAGTTTTTGGCTCATTGAGAACATTTATAATGGAGTCTGAATTGAGGGGGTTGAACGATAAATCCATTTCCTTGACGTTGACCAGGATATTTGCATCGGACGGGATAACCTTGATTTCATTATGGGATATTCTAAGGGTTTCCAAACTAAAATATTGGTTTTGTAAGACGTCAACCGGGATACTGGAGAAATAGTTGTAGGACAGATCAATCATTTCAAGACGAAACACCTTCCTCTTTTCAAAAATATCTTTGGGGATCTTTGAAAGGTTGTTGTGACTCGCATCCAATTCTAATCTGACAATTCCATTGAATACATCTCCCTTGAGCTCCGAGATATTGTTGTGACTGATATCTATGTATTGGAGCTGGGATGAATTTTGGAACGCTGTTTCACTGATGGGTCCAATCTGATTATTGGAGAGATGGAGGGATCTTAACCTTGGCATGTTGGCAAAATCATTATCTTCCAGACTGGTAATCTGATTACTCTCCAGGTTGAGATACTCAAGATGATTTAGTCCTTTTATAAACTGAGTTGGAAATATTGGAAGTCGGTTCCGAGCAAGGTTGACCCATTTCAGGTTGGGGAAATAGGAGAAAGATTCCGGATATAGATAGTTTATCTCATTGTCTCTCAGATCTAGATACTCCAGCTCAGTATCATTCTCTCCTCCTGTGTAAATATCCCCCTTGTAATTAATGAGTTTATTATTCTGAAGATGTAGACGTTTAAGATGTGGAATCCCATTAAAAGCTCCAGTATTAATGACAGCGATTAAATTGTTACTCATATCGACCTCCTCTAGAATTGGAAGATCGGAGAAAGATTTAGATTCTATTTCCTGTAATAGGTTCCCGCTTAGGTTAACCTTGGTCAAAAATTTGTTTTCTAATACGCCAGGATTCAGATTTTTGATCTTGTTATTGTAAAGATTAAGATGAAGCAGATTTGTCATGTCGGCAAAGGTTTCAGGACTCAACGTCTCTATATTGTTCTCCCCGAGGTTTAAAACCTGAAGGTTTTGAAGGAGGTTAAACATCCCTGTAACGTTTTCTATAATATTCTTCTCCAAGTTGAGGTATCTGAGACTAGGATAGGAGATCTGATTAATCTCACTAATAATATTGAATCCTAGATCCATGTATTCTAAACTATTCTCAATCCCCATAAAGGTTTCCGTGCTAACTTCAGCAATTTTGTTCCCGAACAGGTTTAGAATCTTTAAACTCTTTAGCTCCTTGAAGGTTCCAACAGGGATCTCTCTGATGATGTTGTAAGCTAGAGAGAGCTCCTCCAGTCCTTGAACCGACTTCAAGATATCGTAGGATAGTGCTCCAATCCTGTTGTAGTCTATCTTCAACCTCTTGAGGTTGGGTAATCTGCTCAGGGATACGGCTGGGAGTGAGAGAACCTTATTATCACTTAGATCCAGGTACTCTAGATCTTGTAATCCTTCAAAAGCATCATCCTCAACCTGAATATTAGAAAATTAGTATAGAATAATATACAGTGGAATAAAAGGACGACTGATAGACTAAAGTTGTGATTTTCAAATTGTACAATGAACATGAAACATAGCAAGTGTTTCCGTTGATCACCCCCACAGTCTCATTTAATATAAATAGGTGATAACAACTATTGCTTTATAACCACGTCAGTAACATATTAGATTGTTTATATGTCGTCTTACTATTCCAAGGATTTGTGGGTCTTACTATTGGTAAATGAAGTACTAACAAAATATTTTAATAAGTAAGTTTTTAAAATAAACAAATGCTGCATTTTTACTAAAAACTATCTAATTGTGCTGAAAGTAAGAAACTACTAAAATGCTTGTTCGTTTTGAATATGTTTGATTATGGCCTGAAAGTATTACTGAAGAAGTGATGTTAGAATGCCGAAGCAGAAAACATGAAGATTATCTTGGCATATTTAGTTACTGAAGAAAAATATTGAGGTCAAGGGTTCAATAGTTTTGAAAGATCATTGTTCAATGTTTCCCATACTCAACACATTTAACAGTTTGTTTGTATATTCTTTTAAACAAAATTAAGAAACCAACTCATTCTAGTAAAAATATGAAGGGGAATGGAAATACATAGTTCAGGTGACACTCAATTTTTAGAGTGGGTAAGTTTGATAAGGGATTATAACCTCAACACCTTTAACCGTTTGTTTGTAAATTCTACTAAACAAAATCAAGAAACTATCTGATTCCGGTAATAATATTAAATGGAATGTGCAGGACATAGTTCAAGTGACCCTCCATTTTTAGAGTGGCAAGTCTGATTCATGAAAATAAAAATGCTCAACACCTTTAACAGTTTGTTTGTAAATTCTACCAAACAAAATAAAAAAAACGGTCTCATTCCAGCAATACTATTAAAGGGACTGTAGGCATAGTTCAAGGGACCCTTTGTTTGATTCATGATAATAAGACTAGTTTTATCATGAAGATCAAGACAACCTTTAAAACATTAAATAGAAAAAATAGAGGATCTAGATAATGATGAAATATAGGATGAAGATCATGAAGATCATAAAGATCATGAAGATCACGAAGATCATGAAGATAAACCAGTTGAATAACTAAGAAGGGAAGATCAAGAACAAAAAAATAGATCAAAATTGAAATAAAATAAATCTTACCATCCTAACAACGTTGACACTGAAATCCAGTCCCTTGAGACTGTTCATCCCAAGGAAAGTGCCCGGAAGTATTTCCTTAATCAGGTTCCTACTCAGATCCAGGTACTCCAGTTCACTTAGCATCTCCAGGTCAGCATCAACTACAGTCTAAATAATAAAGATATCTAATGATTTGTCATTTAAATTAAAAAAACAATGCATTGTGTTTAACCACTTTCTAAAACCTTCCGTAATTCTATTGTCATTTCTGATGTATCTTTTCTTTAATTTCTCTGAATACTGCTGGGAAATCTGTATGTAAGCATACTCTCTGAATACCGCTGAGCAATCTTATAAAGACATACTCTATGAATACTGCTGACCAATCTGTATAGATGCATAATATCTGAATTCTAAAAAAAACTGTATAGATGCATACTCTCTGAATTTTAATAAAACAAAATCTGTATAAATGCATACTCTCTGAATTCTACTAAAAAATCTGCATAAATGCATACTCTCTGAATTCTACTAAAAAATCTGTATAGATGCATACTCTCTGAATTCTACTAAAAAATCTGTTAAGATGCATACTCTCAGAATTTTGATGAACCATCTATATAGATGCATACTATCTGAGTTCTGATGAAAACTTAAAAGGCATACTCTCTGAATACTGCTGAAAAATCTGTAAAAAAGCATACTCTCTGTATACTGACTACAAGGTTGCTAGTTCAGTGCAGTTTGTTATCCACGAATTAACTATCCATAAAACTGTATATTCTATCATACAGTAAACAATATGAACAGCTTTAGATCATAAATTTGCTAACATGCGCAACAGAAAATTATGAAAATTGAAAATTGAATTATAAGATGAAAAAATCCTACCGCCCCCTTCACTTCCGCCTTCCCCTTTAGACATGGGAACTGAATTCTACATGTATGCACTAAATGTAGATATAAACCCCATTTGTATGCGAAATTTTCTAGATTAGCCCGTATACCCGTATACTAGGACTATAAAACCGACTAGTAAAACCTAATCAGGCCAAAATGAATGCAGACCCAGAGTTTTGGGTTAACAGTTTAAACCTATATATTTTTTACAAGAGTCAGGATCAACATTAATGTTTTCTTATTTGCAAATATGAATATATCTTTACTAGAATTGTCTGGAAATAAATATATCTAACTAGAATTGTCTGGAAATGAATATATCTAAACTAGAATTGTCTGGAAATGAATATGTTTAAAAGTAGAATTGTCTTGAAATGAATATATCTAGACTAGAATTGTCTGAAAATGAATAAATCTTAACTAGAATTGTCTGGAAATGAATATATCTAAACTAGAATTGTCTGGAAATGAATATGTTTAAAGTAGAATTGTCTTGAAATGAATATATCTAGACTAGAATTGTCTGGAAATGAATATATCTAAACTAGACTAGAATTTTCTGGAAATGAATATATCTAAACTAGAATTGTCTGGAAATTAATATATCTAAACTGGAATTGTCTAGAAATGAATGTCTAAACTAGAATTGTCTGGAAATGAATATATATAGACTAGAATTGTCTGGAAATGAATATATTTGTGGTTTCCTTTTCACTTCCTCTCTACGCTACCAATATAAATTTAACAATCCAAACATAAACCAACAAATATTCAATTTAAATACCCCTCATGTTCATCCCTCCCCTTCCCCCTCCCCCCCCCCTCCTCTCTACCTCGTGAAAATCAATCATTGTTTTGGTTTCTGAATCCCTTATTTTACCCCGGGGCAAATTTAATTCCATTTCTAGAAAACCTCAAATTTTCATGTCTCCGTTTCTCTCTCTCTTCCTGCCACACTGTCACCCTGCCTTTCTTCTCTCTGCATGCCTAACATTCATTTACCGTCAGATAGCTCTTCCTGCCTACCTAATATTCACTTCTTGTTAGATGTTTCTTCCTGCCTACCTACCATTTACTTCCTGTCAGATGTTTTTTCCTTCCTACCTAACATTCACTGCCTGTCAGATGTTTCTTACTGCCTACCTAACATTTACTTCCTGTCAGATGTTTATTCCTGCCTACCTACCATTTACTTCCTGCCAGATGTTTCTTTCTACCTACCTAACATTCACCTCCTGTCAGATGTTTCTTCCTGCCTACCTACCATTCACTTCCTGTCAGATGTTTCTTCCTGCCTACCTAATATTCATTTCCTGTCAGATGTTTCTTCCTGCCTACCTAACATTAACTTACTGTCAGATGTTTATTCCTGCCTACCTACCATTTACTTCCTGCCAGATGTTTCTTTCTACCTACCAAACATTCACCTCCTGTCAGATGTTTCTTCCTGCCTACCTACCATTTACTTCCTGCCAGATGTTTCTTCCTGCCTACCTAACATTCACCTCCTGTCAGATGTTTCTTCCTGCCTACCTACCATTCACTTCCTGTCAGATGTTTCTTCCTGCCTACCTAACATTAACTTCCTGTCAGATGTTTCTTCCTGCCTACCTACCATTCACTTCCTGTCAGATAGCTCTTCCTGCCTATCTATCATTCACTTCATATCCGCTAACTCTTCCTGCCTACGTACTTTTCACTTCCTGGCAACCTTATTTCCATCTAAAATCATCTACATCCTAAAACTCTGTTCCTGCAAAAAAGCATTAATTGTTAACTATATTTTCTTGCATTCGAATTATCGGTTTCTGACTTAAAAACATCGTGTCCTGGTTTTCAGCCTTTTTTGACTGTCTTTATTATTTAGGTTATTCACTCAACTGCTTTTCTGAACACCCAGTTATTATGCTATAGGTAAAAATATCTGAAATATGTTGAGATGTTTTGGGTTAAATTTGATATTAGAAACAAATTGTTAGGGTTTCTACTATTTATCAGTGAACATTTTGTCTCTTTAAGAGACTATATAGGCTTTATTTCAAGTAACCCTTCATGCAAAGATGGAAATGCCCGATTCACAACAGTACTCTTAATAAAGTATGAATTATTTATAATTTTGAAAAATGATTATTATCAATGGTGGTTTATCTACAAAAGTGACTTACGCATTTCTACTACAGAAAAACATATAGAAATGATAGGAACAAAACCCTTTTTTATCCTAGAGTGGTTACAATATCTTCCAGCTTATTGAACAGATGAAGGTTTCAAGGGCACCATTGTGAATCGGGCATTGTTATATCTGCATGTAGAGTCACTAAAATTACGCTTACAGTCTCTTTAGTTTTGATTTTGATAAGAATTACCTCAATCCTGTTGGAGCCCATGTTGAGGAACTTGATGTTATTTAGGGAGGTGAGGGCAGACACAGGGATACTCGTCAAGAAGTTGTTGGACAAATCCAGCTCAACTAGGTTACTTAACCCTAGATAGATAGCACTGAGTAAAATCATCAAGTTAAGACTGAAGGAATAATTATCTGAAGAAGGATGAAAGGATGTATGATAAATTAACTGAAAAAAAATGAAAGGATGAATGATAAATTAACTGAAGAAAGATGAAAGGATGATTGATAAATTAACTGAAGAAAGATGAAAGGATGTATGATAAATCAACTTAAGAAAAATGAAAGGATTAATGATAAATTAACTGAAGAAAGATGAAAGGATGATTGAAAGATTAAATGAAGAAAGATAAAAGGATGAATGAAAGATTAACTGAAGAGAGATGAAAAGATGAATGATAAATTAACTGAAGAAAAATGAAAGGATGATTGAAAGATTAACTGAAGAAAGATGAAAGGATTAATGAAAGATTAACTGAAGAAGGATAAAAGGATGAATGAAAGATTAACTGAAGAAAGATGAAAGGATGATTGAAAGATTAACTGAAGAAAGATGACAGGATAATTGAAAGATTAACTGAAGAAAGATGAAAGGATGAATGAAAGATTAACTGAAGAAAGATGAAAGGATGAATGAAAGATTAACTGAAGAAAGATGAAAGGATGAATGATGAATTAAATTAAGAAAAATGAAAGGATGACTGAAAGATTAACTGAAGAAAGATGAAAGGATGAATGAAAGATTAACTGAAGAGAGATGAAAAGATGAATGATAAATTAACTGAAGAAAGATGAAAGGATGAATGAAAGATTAACTGAAGAAAGATAAAAGGATGATTGATGAATGATAAATTAACTGAAGAAAGATGAAAGGATTAATGATGAATTAAAGAAAAATAAAAAGAAATGTAAGGTAACGTCATGATTAGAAATTTGCAAATAATTAAGAAATATTTAAACACATATCTGATGACCAGCAGAAAAATAAAAAACCTTGAAAAAAACTCATTGATTTTATCAGATGTACATTGAGAAACTTGATATTTAATAATGATTCTGTTTCTATAAGAATCGAAATATTTTGGTAAGAGCAAAGAGTATAGAGGTAGTCTACTACTTTCCCTGATAGCCCTTGGCATTTCCTCCTAAACCAAGCTCAGGCTTGGATAGGGGGAAGGTAGGGGGGGGGAGGACATACTATCTGAGTTCTGATGAAAACTTAAAAGGCATACTCTCTGAATACCGCTGAGCAATCTTATAAAGACATACTCTATGAATACTGCTGACCAATCTGTATAGATGCATAATATCTGAATTCTAAAAGAACTAGAACTAGAACTAGAACTAGAACTAGAACTAGAACTAGAACTAGAACTAGAACTAGAACTAGAACTAGAACTAGAATTATAACTAGAATTAGAACTAGAACTAGAACTAGAATTAGAACTAGAATTATAACTAGAACTAGAACTAGAACTAGAACTAGAATTAGAACAATATTTACCTGTAAAACTTCCCTCTTCAAGTCTAGATATCCTATTCTTAGTGAGGATAAGACGAACTAGTCGTGTCATGTTTGCAAATGCACCCGTTTGAATCTCTCGAATCAGGTTATTGGTCAGGTTGACCGACAATAGTTTAGGCTGGGAAGCTAGCACCAAGGGCGTCAAAGACTCTAAAATAATTGATGTATTTTATTTATATATATATTTTTTAATTTGTTTTTTATTTCCTTGCATTTTCGTTGTTGCAATTAAAAATACATTAATAGGCATTTCCGATTCCCAAAGGTACCCGTTCAACCATTAATTATCTGACAAATCCTATATTTTGTCTGCACTGTAACATAATCACTTTTAAAGAGAAACCACTGATGAAAGTTCTTCATATGTAGCTAAAATAAAACAAAGGTATCTAATTCCTCCTTGATCACACAATAGTTTTGAAGAATGTATTTATTATGAATCGGAAACTGCACTCTTTTATGTTTAATGCTTTTCATTTATTTTTATTTTAATGTTTTAGAAGTATATTTATTGCTTCTAGCTGTAAATACATGATAAATAACGAGTGTATCAGAAGAGGAAGTTGATTAGGTCTTAATCTGATTCCAGGATCCGACACTACTGATTTTGCGGATTTCATAATCCTCTTTCGGGGATATAATATTCTCTACAATATATACTTTGCTTGGGTGTCTGGGTGTTTGTTTATGTGTATTCAATAAACGTCAAAACGGCTGAACCGATATGAGCCCAAATTTTATGTGGGACCTCGCGTGGCCACAGGGAAAGTTTATGGATAATAGAATTTTCAAACATTTGTGTTTAAATGTCTTTTATTTCTGTAAAATTTTGAAATCCACGAAAAATATTAGAAAATCTGCAAACTTTTTGTTTGTTTTTGTTTTATACTGTGAAAAGAGAAGATGCTTACAGATAAAGCCACAATTTAGGTTCAAATAGAAGATGGACGCGAAGCGCCCTAAAAGTCTAGATTTTATAAACATTGAAGAGAAAATTAAGCTGAAATGTAACCTAAAACTTGCCAAGTCTTTATTTTTAATTTAACCNTACCTCTCCCGTCTTTTATACATCCCAACCCAAAATAGTCGCCTAATGGCCCGAGAATGACACGAAGAAGAATATTGATGGCCGCGAAATTGCTAATTTTTCACTAGTTAATCCAAGCGAAGGTTGCAATGCGAATCCTAAACAAATATTGCGAACTCCTGAGCCAGCCAGCTCTCTCCAATTGCGACATATGTTTGCAAATATTACAAATATTTCAGGAAATATGCAATCTGCATGTATTATTGTATTATTGTATTATTGTTTTATTGTTGAAAATCTCTCGTCAAAATGAAAATTATATCAATGAACAACGAAAAACAAAAATTTTCAAACATAAAAAAGAAAGTTGACTATTTAATCTGACAGCCTAGACACCTTTAAGCACAGATTTATAAAATATTTGAAATTCTAATTATCGGGGGCTAGTATGAAAAAATGGGGTCCCACAGGGAGGTGTCTTGAGGTCATGAATAGGTTCAGGGGGTCAGGGAATAAGTGACATGATACGGGCAAATCTAGAACCTAAATTTTTAATCATTTTGAAATTAGATTTTTAAAATCGTTTTCAGGATTTCTTTTTGACTTAACAAAAATTTTAGAAATTTTCTGACACGGTCAGCAAAATATAATTTTATTAATTATTTAATTAGCAAATAATGATCATCTAATTAATTACTCACCTATGACGTTGTCTTGAAGATGAAGGTTTTGAAGAGCATCCGGTCCACTCAGGGACTCCGTAGGAATCCTAGTCAGACTGTTACCATCCAACCTCAATTCCTACATTAGGGAGTTCGTTAGATGATAGTAGGATAGGAGGATAGGAGGATAGGAGGATAGGAGGATAGAAGGATAGGAGGATAGAAGGATAGGAGGATTGGAAGATAGGAGGATAGGAAGTTTAGTTAGTTTAGTGTTTTCTAAAAAAAAAACTGTTAAAAGTATAAACCGATTAACGAATATAAGATATAGTTATAAATTGCTTGTTTGAGGTAGAAGCCCCTTCCCCCTCTGTCTAAACTCACCCACCCACCTTGTGAAAATCTGATTGCGCCCCGGGCATTCTGCGCGCATAACTGTGAGAGTGAAAGCGCGCTACTACATATAGCGTTTACAAACTTAAGCACAGAAGACATTCATGCTAATATTTCAGGAATAAATATCTTTAGAAAAAAAATTAGAAAAAAATTCTATTTTTGGCCGCTAAAAATATGAAATATTTGGATGTTAAGATATTTTCAAAATTATCATTGTACCCCTGTAAGTCCAAGAGATTTCTTTTTTTATTTAAAAAAAAACTGAGATGTAAAGACTATTTAGTGATTAAAATGACGGATTTTAATCACCCCGCATCCCCTGCAATCTACCCCCTTTGCATGCTGAAACCCTGTTTGAAGGGGATGAATGAGTGAATGAATGCCTAAGGCAAAGAAACGGTTATGTTTGGTGAGGCTTCAGAGAACCACATGGAGAAATATTCTTTATACGAACACACATTTTATACCTTACAAACACAAACTTTATACCTTATAAAACACACACTTTATACCTTACAAACACACACTTTATACCTTATAAAACACACATTTTATACCTTACAAACACAAACTTTATACCTTATAAAACACACACTTTATACCTTACAAACACACACTTTATACCTTAAAGACACATTTTATACCTTACAAACACACCCTTTATACCTAACAAACACATACTTTATACCTTACAAACACCCCCTTCAATTTTTACAAACACACACTTTATACCTTACAAACACACACTTTATACCTTACAAACACACCCTTTATACCTAACAAACACATACTTTATACCTTACAAACACCCCCTTCAATTTTTACAAACACACACTTTACACTTTGCAAACACATACTTTATAGCTTACAAATACACACTTTATACCTTACAAACACATACTTTATTTCTTACAAAAACACACTTCAAACTTTACAAACACACACTTTATACTTTGCAAACACATACTTTATACCTTACAAACACCCCTTTTATAACAATACAATGAAGACGACTTTCTATTTCAATTTTGATTAGAATTCAAGAGAATCAGTCAATTTAAGATGCTTCTATTTGATTACCTGTAATCTTGTAATTCTGAAAGCTTGTCAATCAAAATAAATAAAAAAAGTCGTCTTCCTTGTATTGTATTGACCACTGTACCTGATAAACCAATTTATACCTTACAAACATACACTTTATTCCTTACAAACACATACTTTATACTTTACAAACACCCCCTTCAATTTTTACAAACATACACTTTATACCTTACAAACGCACCCTTTATACCTAACAAACACATACTGTATACCTTACAAACACACACTTTATACCTTACAAACGCCCCCTTCAATTTTTACAAACACACACTTTATACTTTGCAAACACATACTTTATAGCCTACAAACACACACTTTATACCTTACAAACACATACTTTATTTCTTACAAAAACACACTTTAAATTTTACAAACACATACTTTATACTTTACAAACACACACTTTATACTTTACAAACATATACTTTATTTCTTACAAAAACACACTTTAAACTTTACAAACACCCCAGACACACTTTATATTTTACACACATAAGTTATACTTTACAAAGACATATTTTATTTATTATAAACACATACTTTATATCTTACAAACACATAGTTTATACCTAATAAACATTTATCCTAAATCATAAATTTACAGAATCAAAAATTCTTTGATTTATCATTAGCTGAACAGCCAGAGATTGAATAGTTTAATTCTCGTAGAATAAGAAGAGAGTTTACCAAGAATTTAGTAATAAGATTTACATTAATATTTAATAATGATAATGATACATCATTATTGCCCAAGTGTCCCATGCTCCAGGGACATCTGAATCAAAAATAATTGAAATGAAGATGCATTTTCATTGAACATCAAAAAATATATAACTGTCCAAATAATTGTATTGATTAATTATATAAAGAACCCAAACACTTGCCACAACAACTCCTAATTCTTACATCTTTGCAACCTACTGGTGTAAAACTTTGACTAAAATTGATCTAGCAGAATTGATATGGAAGGTCTACAACGCCAGGTTAAAAAATATTGTGTGTAGAAAACTTTATTTTGTGGCATGGTGTAAGAATAATCTATTCCTTCGTCTAATAAGATTTAAATAGTTTTAGGCTTGTACGCTGGGCGGCCGCGGCAAGGGAAACGAGAAGGGGTCGCAAAAAAACTAATTTTATTTCTGGAAATAGTGACTTTGGCAAGTTGACTCACATCCCTGTTAACTCCGGTTCGGTTCAAGTACTGGACAAGATCAAGTTGTACAGTGTACATGCATTCAGGACAGTACACTAAAGGAATCATCTCTTTCTTGCGAGAGTAAAAGGTCATATTCACTTGTAAAAACATTTTTGAAAATTAAAAATCTTTAAAAGATTAAAGGGAGAAAGAACGAGTGTATTATGCAAAGGAGAAAAGAAGATGAAGATATAAAATTACACAATAGAGATGAGCATTCATAGTAATTCATGAGTACATTGATATGCATCTTCATATACAGATAGATAGATACAAAAACACATAGAAGATGCATAGATAGGTAAGATTAGAAAGACTACACCCCAACAAATTTAAAGATAAGGTTTTCTATCGCTTTGTTAAAAAACCTTCAAGATAAGAAAAATACGTAGAGAAAAATGCCTAAGAAAAGTGTACAACATGCAACCACAGCTGTACTATAGACGCACTTTTACAGTTAAACTGTACAACGCACAGAGGTACATAGACAACAATCGAACCTTTGTAGAGAACAAAATGTTCAAAGAAATCTTATTTTTTCTTTCATAATTTATGATGGCTCAAGATTGTCAGCAAAGCTTAAATTCATTCTAAGATATATATTTCAAAAGGTCCGGGTTCTAATCAACGTGAAACATGTTTGATCAAACCAAATTGAACTTTGTTCAATGTGATTTAAATTCCGGAACAGATTACTGGGAAAAGAAGGGATTTAATCCTTTCTTTATGTTCAATCCCTTAATGGGATTAGATTTAATTCAGATAATCCTTTAGATATACAACAATTGTGTTCAATTCAATTTACACATTTTTTTACAAACCCATAAATGGATTCATAAAAACACTCTACACTTTACACTCCATTGTATGCTCTCTACACTTAACACTCGATAAAATGTACACTCTATATAACCTTTTCATTCTAAACTTTACACTCTCACTTTACAGTCCACACTCTGCACTCTACACTCTAAACTGCACACTCTACACTCTACACTCTACACTCTACACGCTACACTCTACACTCTACACTCTACACTCTACACTCTACACTCTACACTCTACACTCTACACTCTACACTCTACACTCTACACTCTACACTCTTTAAATTTCCCCTAACACATATGTCATACTATAGTTAAAAAGACGTCTAGTCTAGATAATATAAACTGATTACACTTCGACATATTCGGTAAAAGTCGTTGCTTAACAGGGGGCCTCTCAGGAATGGAGTAGATATGACCATACATTATATTCAGGAAATATTACCTAATATTTTCTATATATTTCTAGTCATGAATATATTAGATATTCTAAGCACATATTTGGGTAGCAGATACATATGGTTATTATATATTTAAATGAAAACAAAAGCCTAAAATTCATATTTATATGAACTAAAATATCAAAAAAGTGTAAACGGAAATAGGATTGTGGAGATGACAAAGTCTGTTTACAAAAAAAATAGTTTCATTTTTTATTGCAAATGATGGTATTTGGGAAAATCGTTGTTTTTGGTATTTGTTATAACAAAACAAGGGGATCAAGGTAAGGTTACACCAGACGCGTGAACTACACAGTGAGACCCTGAAAATTTGGGAATATTAAGACGATATTTAATAATTTTACTAATATTTGGTGTTATTATAAAGCAAATAATTTTACCAATAGCTCGGAAATCGGCCCTTTAAATGGCATTGGTTAACTGCAGCAATTGCTGTTTTTTATGAAAATAAACGTCGTCTTTGTCCATAGTTTTTTCTCAATGTACATTTGACCATGGATTCGTGAATAATGGTTTTAGTATGAAGGTAGCCAGCACCAAGTTTATACTGTGTAATTTAAGAATACAAATTGAAATTAAACTTAGATTAAATCTTCAAAAGGGGGGGGGGGTTGTATTTTAAACCTAGAAAGTTAAAATAGAGCAATTTTAACTCGATTGGGTTCGATTAGGATCGGTTTCTCAATTACTCCAGGTAGGATAAACAACACGGGATAATGGAGATCTAGGCGTGGTTCCTAGTTTGCTGGTGGCCTGGTTGCACCGAACCGTTAACCGTCTTGTCATGGCAGATAGTGACATGAAGGTCCTAGATCCACCTTACCTCATTCCTTTGCATCATAATCTTTTCTGTCCACGTGTCAGACGCTACTTCATTTTAATATTCGCCATTTTTGGTTATAGGCCATTTTTCCATGTGAAAAAAACTATCCTAGCCTATCCTGGCCACAGCGATGAGTCCCCTCTTGCACCCAATGCTTATATTAGATGTACCCTAGATAATGTGATTAGGATGTTTTTCATATTGAAAACTTGTCTTAGTTACGCTAGCATAGCTGGTTCAGCACCATGTCATCCATCGAAAAAAAATGTTAACATTTTTATTCTAATTTGCTTATTCTACCCTAAAAGTGTAAACTGTACAGTATACAATATATCCCAAGACTGTTTACCGTTTACATTTGAGCTAAAATCTTTTACTGAAAATGTGAAAAACAACTTAATAACATCCTTGAACGAAACATTAAGCTAAGCACCATTACCAGAACCAGAATTGTTATCAGACCCTTAATGGATTTTAAGAATTTTCTCTAAAACTATTGATTTGTCCTATTATGCCTTGTAGTCTGGAGAAATGTTGATGAACCTAGTAATTGAATGTTATTACTTAGGCTCTATTGGTGTCGTTTCCCTGGGATTTTGGGCATAAAACCATTTGGAGAAAATTACATTTTATGATGATGATGATCACGTCTAAATCTAGCTGGATTAATGTTGAGGAAAAAGTCATGAATTTTTTTTTTGCAGGTTCGTGTGGGGTGGGGTGGGGCCGGGGATATCAGAGTTTTAAACGAAAACTTATGCTCTTGACATATTTATGACTTAATTTCAAATATTTGTAATCTTTTTTTATTTAATTTTCTGATAAGGTAAATACACTATGGTGGGTAATATCAAGTGTGTCACTTAAAGGCAGATATGTATTGAGTGCAGGATACAAAGGCGGATATGTATTGAGTGCAGGATACAAAGGCAGATATGTATTGAGTGCAGGATACAAAGGCGGATATTTTGTCAAGAAAGAAGGCAAACGCGTTTTGGAGGAACTTAAACAGGCGAATAACATAAGTTGACAATATATATATATTGTGTCGATGCAGAAACTAAACCCGAGAATGGTTAAGCTAAATGAAAGCGAATAATAGGAGATATAAATATATCATACATATAAAGTGCAGGATATAAAGTTGTATAATTTGCCTGTGTAGCTTTTTATCCCGCGTGCTGGGGTTTAAAAGCGGATGATCTGAGATATTTAGAACCTCATTGTAAAGTCCAATCTTACTTATCAGAATACGCCTAAATCTGTTTCATGGGTATACCATAGCTCTTAATTTCTGCCTATACCTTATCCCTTTCTTTGAACCTGTCAACATCATATAAGCAGCAGTTTCACGAAGTCGAATAAAACACATGAAAACGTTGAATCGATGATAAAGTACTGATTATTTACCAGAAAAACTATTATTTTAATTTCTATATGTTTGCATTCTGGTGTCGGGGATCATCTTTATTTCAAATTATAATTGTAACTAGCTAAAATAGTAAATGTTTGAAATTCTAAAGGTTTACTCTATCAGGGTTTAAAGATATGGGGATGAAAAAAGTAATCAGTTCCTTTAAACAAATCGTATAACATAGTTTCTAAAAGTGGATTAGTGACAAGCGATTAAGACTTCGCAAAATGGTCACTTTTCTCCATCAACCCCTGCTGCTCAAAAACTGCCCTCCCCCCTCCCCCCGCTGCGCAATGCTTATCTCAGTTATGCCCCCATCCTCCCCTATGCCTG